CCCACGGGATCAGGCAATCCACTCACCTCAGCCTCCCAAAGGCACGGGATTACAGGCTGAGCCACTGAGCCCGGCTTTAATTTTTTAATATATTGTAGAGACAAGGTCTTGCCAGGTTGCCCAAATATATTGTAGAGACAAGGTCTTGCCAGGTTGCCCAGGCTGGTCTCAAACCCTTGGGTTCAGGCAATCCTCTCGCCTCCACCTCCCAAAATGCTGGGATTACAGGCAGGAGCCACTGTGCCCAGCCAGCTTGCCTTGCTCTTTATGGCACCTGCTGGAACCTGACATTACACTATACTGGACATCTCTGCGTCTGTTTCTTGTATCTCTTCCCACCAGGAAGTGAGTCTTCAGACTTGGTCTTTTCTCTGTTCACGCCTCTATTTCCTGGCCTAGAACAGGATTTGGCCCGTGGGGTGCCCAGCAACTGCAGGTGGGATTTCTGAAACATATGTCTAAATCACAAGGCTTCAAGGGCTCCCCGCTGCTAGGATAAAGTCCAAACAGCCACTTAACGTGCCCGCCATGACCTGCCCCAAACTTCTTTTCAGCTCATCTGCTGTTTCCTCCTGCTCACTCCTCAAAGTCCGTGGGCCTGGGATGCCACCCCCTTCTTCCCAGCCAGGTTCACTCTCTGGCCCATTGCTCCAAGAGCCTTCCCTCCTCCCCAGACAGCTCACCCTCACTGCACCATACCAGGAGTTAGCATCCTGGGGTCGTCACAGGGGCCATGCTAGTGGAACAGGGCAGCTGTCTCCCTGGATCCAGTTCCCCTGGCTTCTACCATGCAGAGGCTTCATCCCACAGCACAGAACCTCCTGGCAGCACCCTGGCCTCCGTGCCTTTGCTCCTGTTGTTCTCCTGGCTCAGAGCGGCCTCCCTCCCTCCACCCTGCCTCTCTAATTCCTTGTCCTTAGGACACAGCTCAGTGGTGTCTTCTTCCAGAAGCCTCCCCTGTCTTCCTGGCCAGTCGCCCAGGGCTGTCTCTGAGCTCCCTACGATTCTCCCATCGCAGCCCTGAGCACAGGCTGCCACTGCCGGGTTTATGACCGTCTCACCTCAAGGCTGCAAGCACTGGGGAAACCCCAAGGCCTCCACAGGGTCAGCTCCCTGGGACAGGAAGTTGGTGGCCTCTGTGGTTAGGAGTGGACGAGGCCCCAGAACTCAGGGTGCTACGAGCCCCATTTTTCACAGGAAGTTCTTCTGAGGAAAGTATTGCAGAGAGGGAGGGACTGACCTCCCCAAAGTCACACAGCGGGCTGGGGACAGAGACAGGACTCATAGCCAGCTTCCTGACACCCCCCCCCCTGCTCTTCCCCCAGGCCTCTCCTTCCCCCTGTGGGTGGACCCAGTTGCCTGCCTCACTCCACAGGAAGGCTTTGAGAGTCATTCTTAGTTCAAAAGGCTCCCTGAGGCTTTGTTCTTGTTGGGTATGGAAGGCGATGAAAAGTGGGTGCTGGCCACAGGGCTGGACCTGAGGAAACACCTCCAGCAGCAGGGTGGGCTCAGGGCAAGCCCAGCCCTCTCACGAGGACTCAAGGAAAAGCAGAGGCCTCAGAGTCACACAGAACTGTGCTCACACCCAGCGTCTGTCACCAACAGCTATGTGAGCTGGGAAAGTCACATACCCTCTCTTAGCCTCAGTGGCCCTCACATGCCCAGTGGGGATGATAACTTCTCACTGGGTGTGGTGAGGAGGAAATGGCAGGGGCCAGACACACCGTGAGGGCTCCGTGAAAGCCTGCTCCCTCCCTCAGCTCCACCTGCCCCAGCCCCAGAGAATGCCCCTTCAGCTTGGTCTCCAGGCAGGGGGACCCCCACGCAGAGGTCGGGATGGGGGACCAGTCACAGATGGCAGACAGGTCTCCTAACAGGAGCCAATACAGACACGTTCTCATGGCTGCCTGGAGCTTTGTGGGGAAGACTTCTAAGGTCACAGGCAGGCTCAGGGCAGAGCGCTAGGATTGATTAGCAATGTCTGCTATGGGCAAGGGATGAAGACAGAGAGACGCTGCTGTGTGTTCACAAAGTCCAGATTATAGGCTCTCTGAGCGAGGTGATTCCAAGACTCTCAGTTCAGATTTCTGTGCTGCCATGTCCGGATCTTAAAGGCTAGTACTTATTCCAACACTTACCATGATGAGTTTCACCTATAGTGGGTGGGCATCTGTTTGCTTTGTGTTGCCTACATGGCATCTCTTTAATGCTCCCCTGGCCACACACCACGCTACTTCTCCTGGGCAACCACCCCTCTCCTACTCTCAGTCCATGAGGAGTCCTCACACCCCCGTTCCAGGCACTGGCCCGTGACTTAGCCAGACCAACAAGGCTCAATGGTGGGACTTTGGTTGAAGCCAAGGGGAGGATACGAGTTAGAGGAAGCCCACGACCACCCTGCCTGTCACAGGAAGAGAACCTGCCTGCACAGCAAAGAGGTCACAGAAGAGGCCACAGCCACAGATGGAAAGTCCAAGCCAAATGGTATAATCTGAATTTCTGGATCCAGCCCTACCTGAAGTCAGATGTGCCGAGAATTTTCAGTTATATGAGCCAATGAACCTTTTACGTGTAAGATCTGGGTGGTCCACAACAGTGGCCATCAGCCCTGTGTGGCTATTTAAAAACTGATTAATAAAACGTACAACATTCGGTTTCCCAGTTACACTAGGCACATTTCAAATGCTCAGTGCGTACACATGGCTGGTGGCTACCATATTTGGATGGTATAAAACGAGAGAGAGAGAGCATTTCCAACATATTGGACAGAGCTCACCTAGACAGTGGGAGCCACGTTTGTGTCTCAACTCCCACAGTGCAATTCTGATTTTTTACTTGTGGTCTCTGGTTCCTTCCAACCTGAGTCCTATTAGAATTTTTGCCTCTGTTTAGATAGTAGTCGACACATCTGTGTTCAGTCGGGGTGTGGCCCTCAGTCTGAGGGGGGTGGGGCTCCTCAGTCTAGGCTGGCCCTGGTCTCCCAATGCCCCAACATGCGGTGTCAGCCCACCTTGGACCAGGAGTTCTCCTTGCTGAGCAGGTCAGCGTAGAAGTAGGCCATCTTCCACTGGCCCTTGTAGGTGAAGCACCACATCAGCTCCCAGTAGCACATGTGGTGGAACTGCTTCCAGTGCTGCTGGGCCTCACAGCACTCCTCAAAACGCCGGATGGCCTGCAGGCACCTGCAGGTCAGCCAGGCGGGTGCCCACCCAGCCCTGCACCCCCCACCCTCTGCACCCTCCCAACTCCACGGTAGTCCTGGCCTCCTCCAGGGCAGGCTGGTCCAGCCCTGTGCTAGGTTCGGGTGGGGGCCGGGAAGCCAAGAGATCTGGCCTCCAGTTCTGGTTCTACCCTCTAAGTCTACTCTCCTGAGCCAATGACAGCTCCTGTCTGGGACTCTGGTTTTTCAGTCACAAAATGAAAGGGCAGGACAGAGCTATGATGGAGAGAATAGAAAGTGTTAAGATGATAGAGATAGCCAGGCGTGGTGGCTCAAGCCTGTAATCCCAGCACTTTGGGAAGCGGAGGCGAGAGGATTGCCTGAGCTCAGGGGTTCGAGCCCAGCCTGAGCAACATGGCAAGACCTCGTCTCTACAAAATAAATTTAAAATTAGCTGGGTGTGGGGGCACATGTCTGTGGTTCCAACTACATGGAAGGCTGAGGCTGAAGGATCACCTGATCCCAGCAGGTCGAGGTGGCAGTGGCCATGAGCGTGCCACTGCCCTCCAGCCTAGGTGGCAGAGTAAGACCCCAACTCCAAAAAAAAAAAGATGATAGTGATATAGTAACGTCTGTGCTTCAGAGCAAACTCCAAAGGGTCTAGTAGTTCCCATAAGGCTACCTGGGTCTGCACCATGTGTCCTAATGCCTGGGGAATCCCACCTCGGGGCAGCTGAAGACCCCGAAATGCCGCGTCCCAGGCCTGGGCTTGGTGCTGGGGTCTCCGCCAAGACTGTGGCTTTCCATCTCTGACCCTTTCAAGGGCTCCCCTCAGCATCCTGACACCACCACTCTCCTCTCCATGCCTAGACAGGTGGTCTTTCCCACCTCTCTGCCTCCCTCAACACCTCCCTCCTCCAGGAATGCTACAGTCCCCATTTCTCAAAATCCTCCTCTCCACAGACACCACCTCTGCCCCCCTCTTCCCTGGCTGCCTCCTTTGGAAGGGCCTCACCCACCTCCGCTCTCTCACCGGTTCTCCCGGCGCCCCCTGCTCCCAGGCCACCCTGCCCCTGAGTATGCCGCGTGTGCCTGACTTCCTGCTGGCCTGGGAGACCCTGAGGGACCCAGCCCAGACTCCCGTCACTCACTGCGTCAATGTTGCCTTTAATGGCTTCGATCCGCCCCGCAAAGAACAGGAAGATGGCGCCCTGCAACGACACGCACATGGGTCCCTGCAACGACACGCACGTGGGAGCTGGGGAGCTGGGGTCACCAGGCAGAGCGTGGGGCTTACCTTTGGATACCTGTTCAGGTAGGGCTTCAAGAGCTTCTCTGCCTCCTCGATGTTGACATTCCCAGTACCTGCAGAAGGTGACGGGATGGGACACAACACGTCACCACCACGGGCTTCTGGAGTGCTCAGCACACTACCAGGGGCTTCTTGGGGCTCTATCTCCCAGTCTGAGATACAGGGATAGTCATTCTTCCCATCTCCAGGGGGATGTGAGGATTAATGCAGGCCGTGCAGACGCTGCCCCTAGCTCACCACAGGGCTCAAAAGCCAGGAGCCTATGTCTGTGAGGCTAGGCCTAGAACTACGGGGGCTGCCTGCAGTGCACTCACAACCTCAACAAGGTGGATACAGCCATCCCCCTTTCCCAGATGAGGAAACTGAGGCCAGTCGCACTGAGAGGAAGTGAGTGGTCAGCGGGCCAGGCCCCAGGGTGGTTGATGCGGCCTGCGGCTTCTGGCTCCAGGACCCCCATCCTGGTCCCGGGGGCCCAAGCAGGGTCTGCAGCCCCTCACCCTCTTGCCCCCTTGCCCTTGGAGATGTCAGTGCCCTGGCCCCCACACTCGCCCCGCGGGTGCCTACCAAGCACGAAGGTGAGGAAGGTATGGTAGCACAGCAGCAGCATGACGCACAGCACGGCGCGGAAGCTGTGCCCTGACGCGCCCTCCTCCAGCTGCAGCAACCCATAGTCCTGGGGACGGGAGCACAGGCTGAGGGCCCCAGAGAGGGGCAGGGGCCTGTGGCAGGGTGGGAGGGCCCCGGGGCAAGGCCCCGAGCAAGGCCCCTCTGCCTCAGCCGCCTTCCCAGGGGAAGGGGACTCTGCACCAAGGCCTGGCAAAGGCTTGTGGGTCTCAGGTGTCGCCTGCCTCCTCAGCGGCCCCGTCCCCAGCCTTCCTCCCCCACCCGCTCAGCTGCCCCGCGATGGGCACTGAGGGCCCGAGCCGCCCAGGTCTGGCTAGGAGAAGGACCGTCAAGGAGGCAGATAATCCTAACCACTGGCTCAGGGCATAGATGGCACCATGAGGACTGGGGTCCAGGAAGTCTTCCTGGAGGAGAAAACTCCAGGGCCTGGCTGGGGAGGAGCTGGGGCCAGCTCCCGCTTGCTGCCCTGCTTATGGTCTCTGCCCCTCTTTCCTCTAGACCATTCTCTGTTTGTTTTAGAGACAGGGTCTTGCTCTGTCGCCCAGGCTGGAGCACAGCAATCATAGCTCACTGCAGCCTCGAACTCCTGGCCTCAAGTGGTCCTCCCACCTCAGACCCCAGTGTTGGGATTCCAGGCATGAGCCACCGTGCCTGGCCTTCTTGTCCTTTCTGAAACACAGATCTGACTTGCTTCACCTCTGCCTCAAGCCCTCCGTGGCTCCCCTGCCTTCAGGATAAAGATGAGGCAGTAGGTCCCTCCCACCCAGCCTTGCTGCTCTCTTGCCCTGGCCAGACAGGCCATATCGTCTCATCTCTGAGCCTTTGTCACGCTCTTCCTTCCTTCATCATCCTGAAAGCCTACTCATGACCCACGGGCCTTCTTAAGGAGACACAACTGAAAGGGTCCTTCAGAGGCTCCAGTCAATGAACTGCTGGTGGAGCCAAGATTCCCGGGGTCCACAGACAGGCATCAGGAAACACTGAGGCACGAGTGAGTGCCCAGGAGATAGTCCCAGTCCTGTGCCTGTGTGTGCAAACTCTCTCACCTGAGCCCCCTTCCTCGCAAAGCAGCAGCCTCGGCTGAGCCTTGGCCCACAGTCTAGCTGCGCTTTCAGAAGACGGCTGGGCCCTCAGAGTATTTGTATTTATTTTTATGATTACGTTTTCATCATGCCAAATAATATGAGCTTTGTGCATTAATATTTCCTTTAAACAAATTTCAGTAAAAATTATGAGTCACTTTTGAGAAAAAATAATATCTACATTTGCTTGGCAAATATTAGGAAAGGTCAGAGGAAGTACACATTTGAAAAACACTTTTCTAGCCGGGCTCGGTGGCTCAGCCTATAATCCCACGCCTTTGGGAGGCTGAGGTGAGTGGATTGCCTGAGCCCGCGGGTTCGAGACCCGCCTGGGCGGCGAGACCTCATCTCTACAATAAATCAAAAAATCAGCCGGGCGTGGTAGCGCATGCCTGTAATTCCGGCTACTCGGAAGGCCGAGGCAGAAGGATCGCCGGAGCCCAGCAGGTCGAGGCTGCGGTGGCCAGGAGCGGCCACTGCACTCCAGTCTGGGCGACAGAGTGAGACTCCAACTCAAAAAAAAAAGAAAAACACTTTTCTGGTTGACTAAAACCCTTGTTTTACCCAAAAGAGTTTCAGAGAAGGGAGGGACTTGTCCAGAGTTACAGAAAGAAGGGGATGAGGCTGAATTGACCCAGGGCTCCCAACTTCCAGGCCAATGTTCCTTCCTCCACACCAGGCCTCCTCCACCAGGGAGCCCTTCCTGATCTGCTACCTTCAACCCAGAGCTGGTACTCAGGTTCAGGTTCCTGCCCTCAGTAAAGCCTGTGGGTGCTTGAGTTCTCTGGTTGCCTCCCAAGGACTGATGCCCAGTAGGGTTTCCTCGGTCATCTCCCGGATGAAGTGGTGGCACCCAGAAAACGACCATGGGAGAAAGGATTTGCTCAAGGTCTTAAAGTGAGGAGGTATCTGAGGGGAGAAGGACCAGGCTCCTGGCACCTGCCAGGCTCAGAGCATGTGACCTCAGGCCACTGCAGGAAGCTACCCCTCATACCCACCCTTACCCCAGAGCCTCACCACGCTGCAGGGGCCTGGCAGGGATCTCTGACTCCATTTGACTAGAGAAGCAGACTGAGGCCTGGGCCTTGTCTGGGGCCACATACTGAGGGGGGCTGAGCCAGGACTGGCACCCAGGCCCTGCAGCCCCTCAGCCCCACCCTGTCCAGCCCAGCACCAGCCTGGGCTGAGCAGGTCAGGGATGCTAGGGGACCAAGGATTACCTTATTTCCTGAAAACCCCACAAACTCCAGCAGCCGCAGGATCCTAGTGGGAAGCATGGACAGTGTCTGCAGGAAAAGAGGCAAGTGAGCGTGGGAAGGGTGCCCAGCAGGGGGCAGGAACCACCTCCACAGTGCCACGGCTGGTTCTTCCAACATCTTTACCACAGGGGAGAGAGCCGCCATCCCCACCCTGCCCCCACACCTTTGGAAAGGTCGCTAGATTTAGACCTAAGGTCAGGGGTCTAAATCTTCCCTGAGCAGCTCTAACTCCTAGGCATAGCTCTTCCAAGCCTCCCTGTCTCCGCTCACATTGTCCCTCTACCTGGAAGCACTTCCCCACCTGGAAAACTCCTAAAGATCCTTCAGGATCCAGCACAAATGCTTACCGCCACTCCCCTTACCCCTGGAGACCTTTTCTAGTATCCCTCCACCCCACCCCAGGAAGAGGACTTGGCTCTCCGTCCCTGTGGGTCATCAGCTGTTTCCAGGCCTGTCTCCCTCCCTGCCATGGGTAAATGCTTAGCAACCAGCTCTCCAGGGCAGAACACGGCCCTGTGTCTGTGGAGGCCTGGGGGAGTGAGGACCCACTGCAGTGGACTTCAAGCCACCTACCTGACTTGGGAAGAAGCACACAGGTGGACTCTCTGAAGCTGCCTCCAGCACTGCCCCCTCCCCCTCGGCTGTGAGCTCCTTAGGGCTGGCCACACATCTGGCTCATCTCTGGGTCCCAGCGCCCATCACACAGCCAGGCACAGGGACACTTGGCCGTGATCATGCGTGGGGCAGGCACATGCAAGGGAGATTTATCTCAAGCCACATGCTGTGGAGATGGGGGGCGGGCACACCCACTCACCAGGTTGAAGGCTCCCACACCGAGCTTCACCCCTCCTTCAAAGTGCCCGTGGCTCTCCCCCTTGCAGTACTGTGAGGACTGGACCAGGCTGTCCAACTCCCTGTGGAGAAATGCCCAGTCCTGTTTCAGCCTCGGGCTGGGGGTCAGGGCACACTTATCTCAGCAGGGCCTTGAGTCAATGCCCACCCAGGCTGGTTCTCTGAACTCCCTGGAGGCTGCTTCATATAGTTCTGGTGACCCAAGCACAATATGGGAGGCATTTCTAGCCTCACCTCCCACCATTATACCAACTCCTAACCCTTATTTCAGTCATAGTGGCTTGGGCACTCTGCCTTGGCCGACTCCTGGGCTTGGCCTTCTGTCTGGAATAGGATTTCCTACCCTCGATGCTACAGCATTTTAGGCTGTTGATTCTCTCTTGGTTAAGCCTGCCCCACTCAATGCCACAGCATCCTCTTCCCAGCTAGATAATCAAAATGTCTCCAGACATTACCTAATGTCTCATGGGGGGCAAAATAGCCCCTAGCTGAAAACTGCGGGGCTCACTCAAACACTCCCTCCTGTAGGACGTTCTCCAGAGTCTCTTGGTTGGAATTCAACTCTTTTTCTCCTGGTTTCCAACTGCACAGAGCCCACAGCCCAGCTGCCTGGGGCAGAATAGAGGCTTGAATGATGTGTCTGCCTCCTTCCTGAGCTGAGAGCACCTTGAGGGTGTTCAGTGAGCAAGCACCAACTGAGGCTTCTCTGTGCCAGGCACCAGAAGACAGCAGGGAGCAAAGCCACCACACCGCCACCCCCAGCACTCCCACTCCAGGAGAAGACCACCACTAAGGCACTGTGAGGGTGATGAGAGCCTCAAAGGAGAAGAACCCTAGGGACTGACCTAGACTAGGGATCAGGGAAGGCTTCCCTGAGGTGACATCTGAGTTGGAAGCTGAGGGATGAGGAGGGCTGGCTTGGTGCAAAAAGTGTTTTCTGACAGAGAGAACAGCCCATCCAAAGGCCCTGAGGTAGGAATCAGCCTGGCATACTTGAAGAACTAGGGGAAAAGCAGAGTGAGGTGGGAGATGCGGCATGGAGGGCAGGGCAGAGCTCCCAGGAATGACTCGCAATGGCCAGGGCTTTGTTCTAAGAGTAAGAAGAGTCTTGGAAGTTGGCAAGGGGTGACTTGCCAAGGTATGTGCTTTGGAGACATCATTCTGGCATCTGGGAAGGAAACTGCAGCAGCCAGAGCACTTGTCTGGTTTTCCTCAGACAATTCCGGCACAGGCCCCTAAGGTAACATGGGGTCCTCATGCCATATGGTACAAGATACCCAGCAATACCCTGTAATCAAGCTCACAATATCTCTGCAGGGAAAGAGTCACACTACAGGTGGAAGGTAAAGATGACAGTCTCAAACCAACTCTTAATGGAAAATAAGTATTAATGCAAAACTTGGAGGGAGTAGGTGCTGAGTTTTCAGAGCTTTTTCCGATGTGGGAACTATAGGCAAGGAATTATGGAGCCACATTTAGTAAAACTTCATTCTTTCATTCATAAACACCACCTGTGCCCAGCCCATTCAGTCTGAATGTCAGCAACTCAAACAGCGTGAAAATGATTTTGGCCTCTGTGGGGGTAGAGAGAAGAGAGAGAGAGAGAGAGAGAGAGAGAGAGACACAGACACTATCATCCTTGTGTGCTAGAGAGGTCAAGAAAGGCTTCACAGGACAGGGAAAGTGGCATTGGAACTGGACCTTAACAGATATGTAGGAGTTCTGCTGCTGTTCCTCCAATGGCTGTCCTGGGCTGTCTCCCTGCCCCAACAGGGACCAAGCTCTTTGTGCAGACTTAGTGTCTTATTTTCTCCAGGCAGAAGGTCAGACACAGAGTAGACACTCAGTGGACCAAAAGGGACAGATACAGTCAGAACATCAGGGGAATATTATTCCAGAAAACTGAGGTCCCGAGGGCTCAGAAATGTGCCTGAGGTCACACATGATACCAACTCCTAGCTTCCAGGTCCAGTCAGTATTCCCTTCCTCCTACAAAGCAGCCTGAGAGACCAGTTTAGTAGCTGCTGTGGCCCCAGGCTTCCCACACGCTACTGGCCAGCCCCACTTACTTGTAGGTCTGGTAGCTGTTTCGAACTTTGATGCCACCCTTGATGAAGCTCACCATGTTCTCATCCTACAGGAGGGAAAGATGCTGAGAGCCTGGCCCAGGTAGGCAGCGGTAGGCTTGAGAGGGCTCATGCAAGGCTCTGGGCCTTGACCGTACCTCCCTGTGCCCAGCTCCACGAGTGACCCTGGGGGAATGGGGTCAGAGGTCAGCCAAACCAGGCCTCCCTGCTCTGTGGCCAAACAAAATCTCCCAAATGCCGAGTGCTGGACCAGAAGCTCCCTTCACCAGCCTCATATGCATACTGCATGCCTGGAGACAGGTAGGAGGGCACTCCCCATGGTTACCAGGCCCCCCACCCCCCGGGTGAAGGAACACGGCAAAGTGGAGGGGATGCCTACTTTTGGATTCTTTGCGGTTTTTACAACAAGCAGTTATTTACCATGTTTATCATTTAAAGCACCAGTACCTACAGCCCACCAGCAGCTCCATGCCTGGGTGTGCAGCCAAAGGGAGCAGATGGATATGGGCTGAGGAAGTCACCTTCAGAAAGGTTCATAGCACCACTATCCATAATAGCCAAGAACCAGAAACAGCCCACACGCTCGTGAACAGAAGACCAGACAAACTGTGGTGGATTCATGCAAAAAATCATACACAGCCACTGAGGCTGGGTGAAGAAAGCATGCCCCATGGAGCTCAGAAGGCTCAAAATCAACCAGAATAGAACATTGCTGTTCAGACATGAATAGGAAGCTAATACAACCACTTTTAAAACCTGGGGTAAGC